CCCACTGGACAGTGCACGAAGCCTGTGTGGGAGAGTGCAGGAACCATTCATTAGAATATGGTATTTTTAACATCTATATTTTTTGCACGACTCTCAAGCAGACTATAAAACTGGTGTCCTTTCAAATACAGATGTTTACACGTGAAAGACAAGACTTAAGAGGACTTTTTTTGCAAATATTTAAAATGCTAATGTGTATAAATATGTCATTTAATAGTATCAAACTGATCTAAAATAAAATAATTGCTAATGAAAGCTGCATGTCAGGTCATAGCATTTCAACAAGGTGCTATTCAACAATTACAGATTGAACCTTTAAAGCTCCATGTTTGCAGAACTTGAACTGATAATGTAGAAATACATAACTTGCTTATTGTACTGTTGGCACACAGTACAAAAACACCAGTGTAACTGTGATACAACTCCCTTTCATCTGAATCGGAGAAACATATTGATTCACATCTATCCTGTAGCAGGACAAAAGAATTTACTAAGCATTCTGTAAAAAAAAATAAAAATTATCCATCTTCCTACACAGGTCCCCCTGAATACACTTGGCTCAACACAAATGATATATTAGCTTTCAAATCACAAGATTTCATTTTAAAAAGCTATTACTACTAGGGCAGCTTTCAAGGCCGGCTGTTCAACAATGGCCCCATTCACCTGCCTCTACAAAGTCTGTCATTGAATCACAGCCTTGCATCAAAACCATATGCAACTCAAGAGATGTGGAAGTGGGTGTACGGTGTAAAGGGTAAAGGAAAGCATCATGAAAGACCAGTTGGCAGGAAATGGCATTTCAAAGAGGGTAAAAATAAGTGGCACAGCCACTAATATGCATAATAAGAAAAGAGCTAAGGAAACATGCCAGTACAAAAAAAAAAAAATCTTTCTGTATATTTGTATCCACTTCACTTGGATTTGCCTTGGTCAAATCTATCTTTCCTTCCCAACAGGACAAAGAATAAGCTCTAAAAGATCTTTGAATTTTACCACAGTCACTAGCATATTTGGCAACTATACTACCACCAAAACCTCAAACAGTCTAAATATTTTCATCATGCTAACAGGCTTTAAAAGAATTGTAAACATACTGGCCATAGAGCTCTATGTGGTGTGCACATTACTGCACGCTCTATAGCTATGTTAAAAGGGTAAAAGCGGGCTAGAAGGGCCACTGGGAGGAAAGCAGCTGCAGATGTGTAAAGAGAGAAATATTCTGCGAGGCTGGCACAGCACCAAGAATGCACAAAGCAGTTACGGGCCGTTTGAGATGGAGAGCTACCAAACTAGAGACTACGCCCCCCATTAATCGCTACACAAACATTCACTGAGGAGTAAGAGAAATGGAGGAGACAAAGAGACATGGCCAGAAGGCTGCTGTGACAAGGCTGATACTTGGACTCCAGGTTCAACTGTTTTGTCACAGTTAGTGACTGCAAGAGAAACAGTCTTTTTAAACTAGAACCTGAAAACATTATACACAAACCCAGTGAACTCAATTATTATTGTTACTTCCATGTGCATAGCTATAGCAATTTTCTACTATACATTTCTCTTTGGACGATGAGTCCTAAAGACAGTGATGTTGGCTGGTCTCTTAGTCCAGAGAAAAATGGGCAATTGAGGATTATTTTCAGAACCGATTACTCTCGAGATAATTTTCCTGGTAAATTAATGTCAGAAATTGTCAGGAAAAGTGGCAAAACACGCTCTTGCAGAGCTCAAGCTTATTTCAATCAACACCCTAAAACCCAACAGTTTACTACAGTGCAAGGCAAAGAAAAGCAGCAAATCATCACATTTGACAAGCTGGAAAAGGCCAATGTGTCATCCAAACGGCTGCCAACTAATTCTTTGATGAAAGACTCATCATCTCAACTCTTATCCACACAATTTTTTCCATTAAATTTGATAAGGACACAACTGATCGCCAAAGGTTAACTTCTAATTTGATCATGGAGATTGAAGAGTATACATATGTAACGATAGTTTTTTTTTTTTTTACATCATTCCTACTGATTTTGCCAACCCCCTGATTTTTATTCTAGACCATCTGGTTACTAGAGCAACAAGGCATCTTAAAAAAAGATAAAATATTCAATGAAATTCACAATGAATGTTGCAGTTTTCAGAGGATGATCGGTCTTTTCATTTTCCCCAAGTATTCCTTTATCACTAAAGTGTCCATTTTACACATACAATTATCTTGCAACTAACTCTTCAAATGCTTAAAGTGAATCCAAAAATATAAATCAATCAGATCAGTTACCATTCTGGGCCGAAGTTAAGAGTCTCAGCAGTCATATTCCTCACGTCCACACAGAACTGAGTATCTGAAGAGAAAGAATTTTTTTTTTAATGCAGGAAAACACATTTTGTACTAAAAATAAAATACCATACAAGTAAAAGTGTGAACATAACTGCCTTACCCTGTCCAGATGAGCGGAGCAGGCTGGACTGAGCTGGACCAGGCTAGAGTTGGCTGGCTTTAGTTAGGCTTAGGTGACTAGAAGGCTGAGTGGTGCTTAAGCTGTGGTCACAGAACTCCCCAAACACACAGACACAAAGAGAATAGCTGCCAGTTTCAGGTGCTTGAGGAATACCAGGTTATAAAGTCCTAAATATATACGGAAGGGGGTTCGACGATAGTTTGGAGAATGGAAGCTCCTGCTACTCACAGCCAAAAAAGGTTGTCACACAAACAAAAACAAAAAGAACCTTGGAAATTGACAATGGAACAAAATAAAACACTCTTGCTAGTAATGTTGATTTTTTGTTTTTTTTTTTTTGCTTTTTTTTTTTTTTTTTTTTTTTTTTTTAAACAGCAGTTATATCTCACATTAAAGTTAAAAATATGAATTGAGTCATCAAAAAAGGTAATTCAGGAACAAAATAACAGCCAAAACGATGAAACGGGCTGCTGGAACAGCTGCCAAGAGCAGATGCGACTCGTACTCCTCTTCTCCTTTCTCTCTCCTCCGAGCCCTTTTCTCTCGCTTCAACTGAAATGCGGATTGACGGAGACCCTCCAGATAACTCCTTTACTTCCTGTCCCCCACCACTGGAGAAAAAAAAAAGAAAGTTTGAGACAGGTTTAGAGTAAAAGGACAATAAAAGGAAAGATGAAAAACCTATAAGCCTTTGTACATTTACAAATTAACTGCCAGGAAGATGCATTTTCAGAGCTTGGCAGCCTGACTATACTATGGTAGGAAATTAATTTGATTTGCCGTTGTGCAGCCTTGACGTGCTATTTTTGCAGCGTGCCATGGACTTAGTGAAACATACTGGCCCAGTTGGATCAATCTGTTACAGCATGCTGAGCTGAGAGAAAAACACTGTTGTATTCCTTCAGTGAATAAATGAAAACAGCAAGCTATTTGTAGTCTAGTGCTCAATCATGGCCCAAAGTTTCTGCTGTTTGCAAGAGATTTTCTATCCACAAATGCACCGAGTCTATTTTAGTGATGTTGTGATCCAGCTGCTTCTAAGGCTGGTTGAGGATAGCATCTGAAAATGTCATGGCAACTAGACCAATAGAGGCAATTATATTTGAACAATTATGCTCACACATGCATACAGTGCCTCCATGATGTGAACACTGTATCCATATGTTTATACATTTATAGAATTTTATTATGGCACAGTAATTGTAGAAACCTTAAATGCAGACCTTACTTTCCAAGTTTTTACCATCATAAAGACTGTTAGATTTCACATTCCATACAAAGCACAGCTCTCCAATGCACAACCACCAGGCCAATGCCATCAAAACCAGATGAACGTGAAGATGTGATGCATCACAGCTAGCATAGGGGATATTGTATTTCACCAAGTGAAATGACAGCGATATTAGGTTTCCCCAGCACCATCCAGCATTAGCTTATGCTGTTTTTCAGCATTCTAGTGGGCTCACAAGTTTCCATTTAATATTTTACAATCTGCTATAATTTTCTGCACATGGTAGTCTGATCTAAGAACTAAACTGCAGAACAAGGTATAAAATGTTAATTATGATAGGCCCCTACCAATCAAGAAGACAGAAAGGCCGTTTTCTTTTGTGTGTGAAATAACTTTGAGCAACAACTGGATGCTATAAATTCAACACAAAGAGCCTAAACTATAAGCGGATGATAAAACTAGAAAACTAATCTCATGTTGACAAGTATTTGAACTCTGTCCTTAGGATCAATGTTTTAGATGGTATCAGGGGTATATCAATTCTGGTAACCGAAATAAAGACTACCTGCGGCACCCAATTACAATTACATTGGAAGCAGGGATGAGCGATGTCTATGGAACTGGCAAATAACACGTCTACAGTTAAATCTAGTGGAGGGCAATGATATCAGCAGCAAGCAACACTGGCGGATTTTGTGCTGTTTACTACTAGGGTTGTAACTTTTGCAATTCTTATGCTTTATTGCAATTGGTTAACACCACATACTTAGAGAAAACCCAGAATGACATGACTGCAATATAGGGTTTTTTCATCATAGGAACCTAGCAAGTAATGGTCATCTCAGGCTCTGTGTTTGTTTCCACTACCCTAAGCTATAGGCTGTTAAAAAGCCCAAACAGTTGCTATGGCATTGATAGATGAGTGAAGAAGTAGTGATGCAGTGGACGAAGGACAACTGACACCTACTCAATGCACCTCGCTATCTCGAGAGGAGGCAATGGAGCATGTCGGTGACCACTATGGATCACAGAGGGGTACAGAAGGAGCACGTGAAGTGGATTCCTCCTGGTGAAGCAAGTGCGTCAAGATCAGGAAATCTCACGTCCAGAGAAAATTCTAATCACTTGCAGAAAGAAATGTTTCCCCACTTCAAAACTGTGGCTGAAGTGGAGCTGGCAAGTCCAGTCTCCAGTGCAGCAGTGGAGCGCGGATTCAGCTTTTTCAGATCAAAATTTTAGGGGTCATTAGGAACCCAGTAACAATCAACTCAGCAGCTGGCTACAGCAAGTCAGATGAGCTCAATTCATTTAGCCCATCTTCTTATAAAAGGGTTCATATTTTAATGGTAATTGTCTAATTCTGTAAAATTGCAATGTACATGTTTGCTTCTCTGCGCACACTGGCCACATTTTTATAGGCTTTTACTGTCACCGCAAAGTCATGTTTCATATGGTGTTGACATTAAAAGTGGATACACACAAGCTCGTATTGTGCATCTAAAAAATGAAATGAATGAAAATATAATGCTATTAAATGTTATCATTAAAAAATGAAAACTGAGCTGTAATAATAATAAATTATGATGGAATTTTTAAGACGCTGGCCATGGTTTAAGCGGAATGAACGGGACCAGGCATTTTTACTGCAGGGAGAGTGAAGATGTCACATTTCCGCAGGTTTGTTGTGTTCTGTTTCTTCGACATGTGTTTTATTAATTCATCTCTCCATTGCCATTGGTTTTGTTGCACATAGAGTGTCGATGTCTGTGTAAAATGCGACCCCGTGCCTGAGACAGGGAGGGAGGGGCATTCACAGAGAATCTGAGCTTGCAGTTGGCTTTACTGTTGTTGTCGTCACCTGAACCACTGAAATTTTTTCTCTGCTGTCTAACAACCGGCTCAACCCTTTAGGCTGAGCCGGTTGTTACTACTACAGGGTAGTATCGGACCCAATACTGGCACTGACATCAGTCCCTACTTGAGGTTATGCCAGGTTAAGGGAAACGGCGGGAGTACCACTCACTAGTCGAGTTGCATTGGCATCCTGGTTTCATGGTATAAAAAAAACATTTTATGCACATTTGCTTGTTACAAATATTGAAGAAAAAAATTCAATACACGTGCATCCCGTTTTCTTCCCCGATTGTCTGACAGACTGCGCGACAGGCACCCCAGACATGCAGTAGAGAAGCAATTCTTGTATCACTAACCTCCATCCCCCCCACCAAGTAAAATTGCGCAAATATTTTAGAAATCTCAAAAGTAAACATGAGCATTTAAAGGTCAGTCATAAAATGCACCACCAAAATGAGTTCCTACATCCCATCTCCCAGTTATGTCTGTGGTGTCTTCATTCACTAATCTCTCAAAATGAAATCAAAATTTATATAGCACTTTAAGACATCTTGTTGGCCAAAGTGCTTCACATAAATATGATAAAATAAATAAAACAATTATTACAGAAAATAAAAGCAAAACAATCAAACACAGATGACACAAAACTAAACTCAAACAGAGATTATCAGGCTACAGACTACATGTTAAAAGCCATAGAGAATAAAAACGTCTTAAGTAGAGATTTAAAAACTGCCAGGTCTTTGATGGACCTAACATTAAGTGATAAACTATTCCATTAGTTTAGGGGCACTACAGCATACCTGATTTACAAAAAGACTCCCTGATACCTATGTGATGTTCACAAACTTTCCCAGCTCACAGAAATGACTATGTGAGTTAAGGTACAGCCAGGATCAGTCTAACTACTATGCGGCACACCTACCATAAACTAGCAGCTATTCTGATAATCGTTTAGAGCATTGTGACAGCATTTCTCACTATCTTCAGAATTTTTACAAAACAGTCAATGATTAATAAAGAAAATAATCAGCAGACTAATGTGTAATGAAAATGATCAATAGAAGCTCATAAGAGCACGACCTCAGCCAACTACAACAGTGAAATCCTGCTATTTTACTTTTACTTAAGGATATGCCTACTTCCTCTATTATTGCTAACATGCAAATTGTCGTGCTTTAGTTATACAACATGTTGTACTTACATTTTTTAAACATATTTATAATTCTGTTGCAGTAATTCTTACAACCAAGCTCTGCCTGCAAACACACCTCCCGATCCAGCTCAGCCAACTGTCAGTCACTTGCAATTAAATAAAATGTTTGTTCAATCAAAAAAGCCTTGTTTTCAGACTTTTGAGGGTCATTGTAGCTGATAATATTAATAATAATTGTAATATACCATGTAACCATAAAACTGATTTTTTTTTTTTTAGATGGTTATCATAGCGTCAAAATATCATACCATTGCAACCCTACTTGTTTGGTTCCAACAGTGGAAACAGCTATACAGTACCTAAACAGTCTACCTTCTCAGTAGCTCTAAGGACATTCAGTAACAACTAACGACATGTACACATTTAAGACAACTGGAAAACTGGATGCTGACAGGCCCAGTTGCATCCTACTGCAGTGTGGGTATAAATTATTCATTAAAATGTGTTTGTGTGTGTGTGACTAGAATATTTGTCAATCTGTATAGTAACAGTGACAATCAACATGGCTGTAAAATGGGGAAAAGAGCCCCTGCTGAAAAAGGGATCATAACACATTCATCAAATCTTTGGCTGCCACAGCTCTTCAATTAACTCCCTTAGGTTGCTAATGAGAACGTATCAAACACCTGGGAATTATTCAATAACAGTAATCTTATTGAAGGTAACACTTGTAATTTAGTGAACACTGCAGACATTAAACATGTGAGGTATTTGTTAGATTCAAGGAAGGAAAATGAAAAAACAGAATTTACTTATTAAAAAAAGAAAATTACAATGAGATTCGTTAAGAACCGGTAGAACTTCAATAATGGAAGAAAATAATTTTACAAAGAAGTGCTACAATTAGGAAGATATAAATCTGACCTAAACATCTTTAGCACTCTTGCTTTATTCTTGTATAAACTTACTTCATGACTTAACTCCGGACTACAAACCACAACAGGAAAGCAAATACATTGTCTATTGCCATCTTTGCATTGGAAAAACTGAAACAAGGCAAGACTAGAATAAAATTGTTTGCAGAATTTTAAATAAATTATGCATTTAAAATTTGCAAACGTCTTGCACTTCAAAACGAGGCGGGTAACGACTTCATTCTGCGGAATGCAGACTGTAAAGCTATGCTAAAGCTGCTATTCAGTGCACACCAATTTGTAACTTGAACACACCGAACAATGCTACGTTGTTTAACGTCAGTAGTAAAGATGGCCAACGTATAGTGAAAATAAGCTTGACGACAGCTACGGTCAGTGGCTACGAGCGGCATTAGCGCGTCTTGCAAGCTAATTACAGAAAATTCATCTGGAGGGAAACAAAGATAAACCTATAGTTACATGAGTATTTACTCCACAATACAATATCTCACTAGCTTAACAGAAACGATTTACCTAGAGTGCTACCTAACCTAGCACAAGGTATGCATTGGTCGTAAAGGCCTTGGCTTGTAGGTTCAAATGACACCAGATATGATGGCGGAGGGGCGGAGTGTTGGAATCAGAGTCCCCGGCCTGCTCCGCCAATGTGAAGACGTCGACCACCTCTAACCCGCTATTTTTGTTTAGCTAAGGCTAATGTGATGTAAACAGAACAACCACAATGAGAAATTTCTAATGTAAAACAACTTGGTGAACATTATTTCCCCGCGACAGATAAATGCAAACCATTCGAGCTGCAAGCGCCGAGGTTAGCTTGTTAGCTCAGGTTAGCCAGGTAGCTAACAGACAAGCTGCAAAGAGGAACCATGGCTTACCTTCTCTGTTTATAGCTACCAGACTGCTTGTCTGCACGATGTGTCTATAGCCAATATATCGCATGCATTGGTCTCTCTAAACACTGTAAACGTATTCATTCGACAGAATCGTACTTTCAGAAAGGCGTGCTATGTATATTATTTATTATATTTCCCCTCTCTTCCAACGGTCGCTGCTGCGTATCAATATGTATGTGCTGGATCTTAGTCGCTGCTCTTCTTGTTGTTTGTGTTTCGGAAACATGGCCGTCTGTATGACACCACGTGACTGGACATTAACAAGGCTAACCAATGCTGTAGCAGGACAAACACACCCCTATTTACCACCCTGGACACTGATATGTACCACACTTTGCAACGCGTTTTTCAAAAGCAATGTGTTTAAGCCGGGTGGTGTTAATTAACCAGCAAATTGAGGAGCGCTGCAATTTCAGCGTGGGATTGTATTAAAGGCAAACAGTCTGGTCAAGCTGCTCCGTGTAATCACAGAATACTGACAATAGCTTCCCTCAAAGTTGTTTTCATAAACTCTGCAGTCAGTAGCATCGTGTTTGAAATGCGTAACAGGATATTTTGAGCTATTGTCTTTTATTACCCTTGAAAGTGAACTGAAAGTCTAACCGAGTATGAAAGGCAGAAACGAGCAGAGCATGTGTAGTCCTTTGGTGGAGGGTAATATAGGGTTTAGTCAGCAGAGGGCGCTGTCAAATAACAGTGGCATTATATGAATCAAGTTATGAGAAAATTATTTTGGACATACATGTAGCCTGCTCCTTTGAAATTGGGCCATTGTTTACATATTGTAAACGTGGATTACAAAGTATTTAGCACTGAGAAAATTATATATCCCATGCACTTCTGAGCAAAAGGTGAAAGGCAATGAAAACAGTCTTGAGGTAATGTGCAGATATTTAAAAAAAGAAAAAGCTACATTGTTGCACCTGTGTGTCATCTGGACACATTCAACCGCGGATTAATTATGTCAAAATCAATACTGGATATGTAAAAATACTGATTCTAGTTTTTCATTGCATGTCAGAGAGAAGTAGTCTATAACAAGGGAAAGCAGAGTACAAGAACACACATCAGTGTTAAGGCATTAGTTACAATAAAGTGTAATTCAGCATGTTTTAAAATAAAATATCCATAAAGTGTGAGTTTGCATGTTCTCCCTGTGCCTGTGTGGGTTCTCTCCGGTACTCTGGCTTCCTCCCACAATTCAAAGACATGCAGCTTAGGTTGACTGGCAACTCTAAATTGGTCGTAGGAGCGAGTGTGAACACGTGGTTGTCTGTCTACATGTCAGCCCTGTGATAGACTGGTGGCCAGTCCAGGGTGTACCCCGCCTCTTGCCCAATGTCAGCTGGGATAGGCTCCAGCCCCCTCATGACCCTCTTTAGGATAAGCGGTATAGATAATGGCTGGATGGATGGATTAAGTGTGACAAAGAAGAAAGAAGGCTTGCAGCAGTAACTACAAAGAAAAGGTGGCCAAAACAAGTCATTTAATCCAAATGATTCTTAATTTTATTTTTAATTTAGGATCAGTCATATATTTACAGCTCGTTAAAATCTGTCTGGTTAGCTAGAGGTCATTCCATGTCTGTCAAACCATTAAAGACTACAGCCAAAGCAGTTCCTAATTGTCTATGTTAATTATATTTGAGAAGTAAGGTTTTGTTGTTATTTTTAAAAAGTGATGACCCTCTACCGGTGGTTTCTATTCACAGCTTACTGAGAGGAGGCACTCTTTACACTCTCACAGCTGCCTCAGCGCTTAGACAGCTTCCTACCTCCATTTCTGCATGTTTGCACAGAAGTGACACTGTGCACTCTGCTAGCCAGATCAACTTTGTGCATGTGGTATGTGCCAAAGGTGGCCAGGAATGTCATGCACTCTGGCTGGGACTCGTTGTTGTACTGTGGTGTATAGGTTCATAATGGACTGAATGAACTTGGGGTTGAGGGGTGTTTCTTTTTTTACGCTCTATGTTAACTACAGTGGAAAGAAAGCAGTCTCTCAGTTAAAGTCATTACAGAGAACCTGAAATTAGGATATTAAATAGCATAATTTAGGTGTAATTTCATCATTTTAAAGATATATAGAATGAGAGTTGGACTAGAATTACACTAATATTGGAATGAATGAACTGTCCCCTTATTTTGTAATGAATTACAAATGAGCAAAGTCTTACAAATATTATTATATTGGGAATATCCACCAGTGCATTCATTTACAAGAAAAATACAGCGAAGCATAATGAAAATATCCAGATATGTTAGAACATGTGCAGAGATGCATGGCTGCACAGGCATTGTAGGACCAGATAAGAAAACTATCCAGCCACTGAGCTGCAGCTGCTTTGCATACTGAGCCTCTGCCCAACTGTCTTTACTTTCCTAGATTATGAGGGCAACACCAGTACTGGTTGGCATATTAAACTGAACATTTCTCTTCACCACATGAAATCCGTGCATTTTAGTGTGTGGCAAACCCATGAAAAGAAAATAACCTGGTTTATATTATTTTTCCATGTACTCCAGTGTGTGAGGATGCATCTGTTTTGCACCTGCGTCCTGTCCTTCTCTCTGCTGATGATGTCCCCCCTGGTGAGTGCCAGTGTGTCAAATAGCTTCAAAGATTGCAGTCATTTTTTCTACATGCAGACACCACCTGCAGGGATCAGAGGAGCCAGCCTAAAGAGGATCTGCCAAAAGTATGCAGACAAACTGCGCTACGCCACGTTCTATGACAGCAGTCGCCACCTCCCTCTCTACTCAGCCTATGTCTTTAAGAAGTCTGATGGAAAAAGGAGGATGGACACACCCTGGATGTATGAGCCTCAGGTACAGGGAATAGCTCTGCTTTGTCTAGTTCACATATCTCTGTAACATCTCTGTAACACTGATGACATAATCCAATGGGTTGTTAAGGAATATTCTCAATCTTGTATTTTAGTTTTTATTACTAGAATATGGGATTTGGAAGAAGACAAAGACTGTATGGAACTTAAGCAGGACAAATAATCGGTGACCATTCCCTGATTTCATATGCATTACCTGTTAGTCAACAAATATTAACTGGACAGCTACAGTATTTCCATTAGTCAACAAATATTAACTGGACAGCTATTTCCAAAATCTTCATTGTTACTAGACACAAACAGGTAAAAAGTAGCTTAAAATCAGGAAAAACATTACTGACATTTTACTTTGAATCCTTAGCAGTTGTATATTTCATTAGTGCGACCACATATTAGAGCTGTTCCACATTACATTTAGTGTCATTACATTACATCACCTTTGGGCCACAGTCATTTTCAAAACTATTAATACCATCTTTTTTCTCTGCTTTTCTCTACAGTTGGTTTCTGATGATGAGAATGGCAACATGAAAGCACTTCCCCTTACTGAAGTTACTCCCCCTCTGATTGAGGACAGCCAGGCTGTGCTGGAGGACTATACCGATGCAGTAGAGTACAAACGTGGCTCACTGAATCCTGACTTGCACCAAGCAGAGCCAGATGACAAATCCTCAACCTATACCCTGACCAACGTAGTGCCATTAATTACAGAGTTTTTGGATACTTCATGGAACCCATACTTGGACATGATCCGCCGACGCCTCAACAATTTCTGCCATGGTAAATCTTTCATGGTAACAGGTGTGACTGTTTCTGCAGGGACTATTCAACGAGATAACAGGGACCGCCTAGTAATCCCAAAACACTTATGGCTGGCATACTGCTGTCCGCGGTTTGATCATAATTCACCGTATGAGGTGAGGTTTATGTTCCCTAGTTATGGGGGCTATGCACTGAATGAGCGCACAGGTCACAGTGTGGTGGAGGTCCCACTGAAGACTCTGGAGAGCTTCCTGAAGAGCCAGATAAATGCAGATAGTGACATGACTATTTTCTATAAGGGCTGTGTGTCAGAAAGCCCTTTCAAGAAGAAGAGAGACCTAACCAGTATTTCAGTATGATGGGACATCTTGAACTGGATGCACAGTGAGGGATGAAGCCTATGATAAAATGTGTGAACAAACATAAACTTTAATAGGACTAGCATCAAGTAGTCATGGCTTCACATGTTTTGGAGTCAATTAAACTGGACTTATATTAAGGCAGGGAAGGGCTATTTCATGACCACATACACGACCAATCAAAGGTTTGGACCCGCTATCCCACTGAATTCAATAGGATAATTTTGTCTTTAATGGGGCAGGTTTAGATTCAGTTTGATGGTGTCCATGGGAGAATGAGCCATAGCACAGATGACCATTTAGTGCAGCCAAAAAATAAAATGTAATTGAAACATTAAAGGGGAACTCTTGTAACTAAATGTCGCACTTCCATGAAGTTGGGGGGCCTTGCAAGAGATAAATTATAAGAAGGATGCTTAAAATCAAAGGAACAGTTGCTGATGGATAGAGCCTGAGATATCATACCTTTACTGTAAAGTATAGGCTAATTCTGTAGTTTGCTCTCAATTAGCCACTCTTGCTCATTAGGGGGATCAGTGAATGCAATACAACACATAAGAAACTACCTTTTTGGGCCCTCAGTAGGGTCACTTTGCATATACTGTGTATACTGTATACACTGTGTTGAAAGAAGTAATTAGAGTGCTTGTTTCTGATTTATTTGTATCTTTACCAAGACTAGTTGATTATGCTGATCTACTATATATGAATTCTTCAACTAAACATCTCATGAAACTGAGTTTTGTATATAAACCACTTGAAAATTGGTCACAAACCTTAGACCTCTGTACTCCAGTATTGGCTGGCCTTCACTCTCCATGTGACGTTAGAGATGCTGGTATATTTTAATTTACAAAGTCGTACTTTGTACATTAGTAAATATCTGGCTATAACGTTAGCTCTAATAATGCATATCTGTCGTCTGTCCCTAATGTCAGGACAGAAAAGAGGAAAAGGGTCTTTTGCCCTAGCCACCTGGAGCAGCCAACAAAAGAAACTCAACCTACACAGTCAGAATTTAAGTCTATTATACTGTAACAGTTTGTTCCTCTTATTACTTTTGATGGCACTTACTGTATGTCTGAGTCTTACTGCCTGCTCCTGTTTTTATTTTGTCAGCTTTTAATTAGTTTTAATGACTCTGTTTTTATTTTGTAACTTTGGATTTAATACACAATATTCTTGTCATTGTCTGTTTTTATATACCACTATCTTATCCAGGAAACCATTGAAAAAAAGTTGTTTAACCCCTAAAAAAATATATGTTAAATAAAATAAAAAATAACAATAATAATAAATAAAGGTCACCCATGATGGATATATTTTTTTAAAGAACATCTGTTAAAACAATAAAAATCTTAAACACATTTTTTTAAATCTGTGCTGTTACATGCATAAAATTAGTTATGAACAGTCATATTTACAGGAGGCCTATATCCCCCACTGAATTTTATGTTATTCAATTCAATTTTATTTGTATAGCGCCAAATCATAACAATGGTCATTTCAAGACACTTTACAAACTAAGGTCTAGATCTTACTACTACTATTATTATTATTGATCCCAGTATCCTCAGCAAGAGTCCAGCCTAAGGGAGACAAGGCCTTCATATAAAACCATGCATATATACTAATCTTCAGTGCATCCTAAGCTGCCATAATTGTAAAAACATATATAGTTATGGCTTAATATCCACTGCCGAGGCAGCACATATGTAATCACTGGATTAAATATGGATCATACCATACAATGTCACTGTCAGCTGACTAGCTGTGTCTAACTGCTGGTCAGCCAACTATATCAGCCAGCCCATTTTTGATTCGAAGCCCACACAACATGGTGATGTGGAAACTATGCTCCCAGGATATTCAAAGTCATAATAGTAACTGAGAAGTACAAAGTAAGGATTTGCTCGTTGTTTAGAACTTCATGGGGGGCCTGGTGGTTTATAGATGTTTAGGACACATACCATCAGACTGGTTTAGATTTGACCAGGAAATTGTTCATGTCATCCTTCTTTTTCTCCTTGTTTTCTCTCAGTTTCCTGTCCAGCATATGCTGTTTTATGTGTCAACAAATATTTTTAAATTTACTTTTAAACCATTATTTTAGTCTTGTTTGTAGTCACTAGGGATGAGCTGTTTGGGACTCTACCCCTGCTGCACTTCAACAGAAAATGTCTCTATATTGTCCTTTAAATTCCTGTTACATAAATTCAAATACAGCTAGATTTCCCCACATTGCTCAGTGACATACATATTCTACTGCTTTACTGAAGCTATAGCACATTTATGAGTGAAATATTTAAATCCAGCATGCTAGTGTTTTTTAAACTCCACAGTATATGTATAGTGCACAATTTGTAGTTCAGTGTAACATTTATTTAGATTATTTATATAGAATTTCTATAAAATGTATGCATTTGACCGCATGGGTGGATGGGTCTGACGAGTTAAAAAGAGGTACCTTTTCTACCTTCTTCCTCGCCAAGAGGAGAATGGCATTAAGATGTAGCTAGCTATTGGATATCTACTGCAACTCTTCCTCTAGCTGTAGGTGGATCTGTTGAGGTGTGGTGTGCATCGTTTTGCATACCGAGTACTGATAACAGAGAGCATTGTGTGAAACCATTGTTAGCTATAGAGTCACATTCACTCATTTATAATAGCTTACAGAAGCATACCAGCCATATACTGAACAGCTTTCAGGGTGACCTCAGAGCCCTCCTGACTATGGCATGCTGGGTGCAGATGGTTTTCCTGCTTGTCAACATAATAACATCAGCGGTACAAGGCAGAGTGGAAAAAGAGCTATCTCCAGAGTGCAGAGAATTCCTGTACATGAGGACACCACCGACAGGGCTGGAGCATCATTCCTTGCGGTACATTTGTCAGTGTTACTACAAGAAGCCACGTTATGTCACACTGTACAACATTGTAGACCATATACCTGTCTACTCTGCTTACACCTTCAAACGCTCAGATGGGGAGAAATGTGTGGATGTGCCTTGGATGTATGAACCTCAGGTAAAAAAAATAAAATAAAATAAAATATACTGTATATATATGTATATAAAATTTGTACGAGGCGCTAACATAAATAGCATGCTATAACTTTTCTGTTCTGAAATCAGGTTAAAATTCTTCCACAAAAGCTTTAGTTCATGTAGATGCTGTGTAATCACTTTATTCTGTCCTATCCTCATCCCTTCATGTTCTCTCTCTGTCTGCCTACATAGTTATCCATGTCTTCTCATACAGATGAGATGCAACCCTTCCCACATGATTATATGCACTTGAATTTTGAAGATACCCAAGCTGTTCTTGATGATTATACAAATGCCATCTTCTATGAACGTGGTACCCTCAACCCGGACACGCATCAGGACAAGCCTGATGACAAGGCCTCTACCTACACCCTCACTAATGTTGTGCCTGTGGTGCCCGACTTCAACAACAAAGTCTGGAACAAACAGGAGCATGTCATCCGCCAACGGCTTAACAATTACTGCCACAGAACAGCTTATATTGTTACAGGTATCATCACCTCAGGGAAGATGATCCGCCGGCAAAACACCAACCGCATTGTAGTTCCCACTTACTTGTGGTCAGCTTACTGTTGCGTTGATTATGACCACAGTGCGCCTTATCATGAGCTCTATAAGTTTCCATCTTTTGCTCATTATGGCCTCAATGACGAAAACTCTGAGGTGGTGGAAATTTCTGTGCAGAAGCTGAAGGACTTTCTTCAGAAGACTAGCTTTGTAGGACAGAACTTTCAGATCTTTGTAGGTGACTGTGTCCCGGCAGCATCCAGTAGAACTGAATAGGGAACTGATGTACATAGCTATAGGCAGTTATGTCCAATTTTGCCTTTATTAGCTTGGTCATGTTTTGTTTCTTCTTCCTCAGTAAGATTTTCACAGCAAGCATTTTGAACTGTCAAAGTAAGAAAAACAGAGGTTTTCCTGATGGCATGAATAGTGGCTGTGTCCTAGTACGCCATGACAGGGTGACAGTGAGTCAACATGTAGAAGCCCTGAAACTGAACCAACTACATAGAAATCAGTCATGTTTCATTTTATTATATACACCCATGTGTTTCCTGCTCTTAAATGTCAAAATATCTTCTGTGACAAACTCCCACAACCTATTAGTGAATAATTAAGTGAGAGACAACACCATCACTCATAACAATATAAACTTAGTGTTGCTTAACTGTGCAAAACTGTGTTTTGAAGACTTGATTTATAATAATAATCTGACATGAGTCCAATAGGACACTGAAAATGTTACAAAAACATGCTTTGTGCAACTTACAGTAATAAAACTTTGCAAAGTGTTATCAAACTGTCTTTGAAACTTTATTTTAACAATTTCAAGAAGATTTCTGTTATATTATATCGATGGCTTATAATTCACAATAGTAACAAATTTAAATGAAAACAATCTACTCTGTGGACTTTAACACCTCTTAAGGTATTGATTTCTTATTTCTCATGGTATATTTATCTTTTTTTTCCACGGGCCTAAATGAAACATTCTTACAGGACCCACAGTATAGCTGAACTCATTAAGATTTTCATGGGGTAAAGCTTTTAAACTGTCATTCTTATAACAGACTAGGTCATTAGTAGTCATACTGTGTGAAGAGAGTGGATCTAAATGGTAAGAGCGTTAGTAATTAGTCTATATTTTTGTTTTTCCCCTCCAAAGTCACAGTTAAATAGCTGGCTGCTTTATATTTGTGTAAAAAAACTGTAGTGAAATTCTAATGGATCCGATCTTGGCTTTCTACTCATAACATTGATTGACACTGCAATAGATCAGCTTCTTTCTAATCTACATTTTTTTTCATTCTCACTCTTACTCATTTATTGTAACCCTCTGTCTCAACACAAAATAAGATTTAAATTTAAAAGCAAAATGAGCTGTGTACACAACTTGAACTAAAGATTTCATTTTTCATGAGAGCATCAAAACAAATTCATACTTTCCTCGGCAGTTCACACTAATAAAATGCTCTCAAAGATCGATAACATCTGCTGCTTCTGAATTACCGCTATAACACTTGTGGAACTTTGGATATATGGAAATACTTTACAATGGGTAAGTAGTTTGCTTGAAGTACAGATGAGGCAAGAAGGGAAATGATGAATCTGATAGAGCTGGAACAGAAGCTGACCTTGTTAGACAATAGTGAATTCACAGTGGTGCGTTACAGGTGAGAAAGACACATACAAGCAAAGGATCTAGAAGGACATAGAAGTTAAAGGAGCATTACCATGATGATACCCACATCTGCAGCTGTCATAAGTATCCTGACCTGTGTGTTGCTACAGGGGGCCCGGGCAGGAGTGGTTGGGGACTTTAGCAATGTGGAACACTGTAAAGACTCTCTGTACATGGGCACTCCACCTCGAGGGTACTTCAGCAACTCCTTTAAAAAGATCTGCCAACGGTATGAGGACAAGCCCCGTTATGCTACCCTCTATGACCCACACAAACGCATCCCCATCTACTCTGCCTATACATTCAAGAGGTCAGATGGGGAGAAGAAGGTGGACTTCCCTTGGATGTATGAGCCCCAGGTGAGAATCTTGTCTAACCTGATCTAAGTCCAAATGTTTGTTTAGATTTGTTTGCTTTCCATCCGAGCTTCAATTCAAACCTACTGTACTATAGGCAGGTGTGCCTTTGCACATACTGTAGATATGGAACAATAGCCATGTTAAATTTCATAGCATACCACATCTATTTGTATGCATTCATCAAGGATTCATTATGTATTTGGACACCAAAAACAAATATTTACAAAGCAGTTCAGGGAGTTGGGCCAACTATTGCTAGAGGCAACAAAGTAAGCTAGAGATAAATTACTTTACTGGCTATGAATGGTATTTTAATGATAGTGTCCCTGTTGCCATTTAGTAGTACATACAGCATGCAAATGTCACTTGGAAATGTTTGTGAATGAGATTAATTGTCTGAATGCATTAAAGACTAAATCATGAGTAAATGGTTATTCATTGCTATAACTTTAAGAAGTAATACAATTGCCATCTACATTTTCAGCAGTATTCTCTCTCCCTCTGCAGTTGGCCTCAGAAAAAAGCAGCAGCAACATGGAGCCATTTCCTCAATCTTCAAGAATGCATATGAACTTTGAGGACACCCAGGCTGTCCTGGAGGACTATGCTGATGTGGTTCAGTATGAACGTGGCCAACTAAATCCTGATGAACATCAGGCTGACCCTCTAGACAAAGCCTCTACCTACAGCTTGACAAATGTGGTACCCCAGATCAGGGAGTTCAACTTGGGTCCCTGGGCGGAACACCAGGACCTCATCCGCAAGCGCCTAAACAACTACTGCCGTGGCAAAGCCTTTGTGGTCACCGGGGTCACTACCTCTGGGCACACAATTCGTCGCAACAACCTGGATCGGGTGGGTGTACCGGAGTACATGTGGTCGGCCTACTGCTGCACCGAGTTTGACCAAAATGCGCCATACTTTGTGCGCTACAAGTTCCCTGTGTTTGGAGCTTATGGACTGAACGATCAGGTCAACAACCATATGGTGGAAGTTCCTCTCAAGAACCTGGAGCGGTTCCTCAAGGGGCGGATGAATGTGGACAAGAATTTCCAAATTTTCTATAATGACTGCATATCAGACAAATAAAATAAAACAGCTGTGATCTCTTTTATAATTCAAATTTAGAGGATGTCAGAAACTTGCTTGGGACTTTTGGGGCTCAAAATATTCTTAGAAACAAGATGTGGTGTCAAATTATAAGATACATTCTAAACAATATAATGGGGTTATTAATCTGAGCCTGTCTCGTTAAGCCCCAAAGTCCAAACTATTATTTTCATTATTGATTACTTTATATTATAAAGCCAAAAATCCAATCTTAAAGTGTCCACAAATTGCTTGTTTTGACAGAACAACAATCAATAACAAAAAAGATATTTGGTATAAATGGTAGGAAAAGATACTGTATTAAATAAGGCAAAGGAAAAAGTCTTAACATTTAAGAAGCTGGAGCAATAAAATATTTAGCTTGTTTTGTTGAAAAATGACAATTAATTGGTTGACAAAATGAATTACAGAAATGTTCTTTTAATATTTACAAAGCAGTGTATCTGTGCATAACCATGCCGATTAAAACAATCATGTCCAACTTATATTTTGATCATTGAGCTTAGTTTTCATATCCACATCTTGAAAAGCATTTTATGTAATACAAATAAATAAAGCATTTACTTCTGAAGCTAGAGACGCACTGCAGTACATCAAAGAAGATCTGAGATTCAGCAGTATTTTAACAGTATCACTTCAACTACTTTGTAATTACGGATTTTATCCACAGGATGGCACCACAGCATACATAATAACAACAAGAAATAAAGGTCGTCTAAAGCAGCAGACACTTGACACAGCATCTACAGGTAGATGTGAAAACTCCACAGTCTGCTATAGCCTACTTCATCCACACAAATCATAAAACATGTACAGACCTGAAACAGAGAGAGTATACTGTCATATTCTCTTTTTGGCAGTCTGAGGCATACACAGATTATAAAATGAAGACTGATCGAGAGATGAAACCCCTTTCCACATCACCCACCCTCGCTTCTGTAACTCTGTCTTCTCCAGGTGACATCCGTAGTAGTGAGGGTCAATGACCAGCAAGTAGCTTCCCTTGTCCCCAGTGCACACCCCTAATATCCCCTTAGAGGAGTTGTCCTTGTCCCCTCCCATCATGACTGGAGATCCATGCTTGTCAAAGTGCTGATGGAGCTCTTCCACTGCAACATGCTCCAGCTCTGCCCCTCCACCTCTAATATGTACCAACTTACAAGGAACATCATAGAAATAGTCAAGAACCAGGGAGGCTTCAAACGTTCCTATCCACTCCCTGGAGCCTGAGAACGAACCTGGCTTGTCCCCCATTGTAACCAAGGCTTGCTGGATTTCTGGGATGCTCGGTGGAGGTCTGTCATAATACTTAGGTGGAGTCCAGTTAAGGGAAAGCCAAGAAGCCATTGTCTGCATGGTACGGTAGCCACATCCCCAGCCTCTGTCATCTTGCCCATCACAGCCATAATGGAAGTAAATATAGTCTCCTTTAATCAGTGAACAGTTGACTGGCTCAGTAAGGGGATTAGAAAGACCAGTATGGATACACTTTGATAGGGATTTGGTCATAATCATTCCCTCTTCAGATACACTTCCTCCCCAGTCAATCTCTTCCGACGCCATTGCCGCAGTCTTTTTATCAATTTTTACAGTTCGCCTCTACTGAGCATACGTTCATATTTTATATTCCCAGTTGATCGTTACATTGATTATTAAGGCGACAGCACTGACTGTATTTTACATACTGTAATTATAAAATCGAGAAATAGTCGTCCGGTGCAACTGTAATAACTGACCCTCGGTGCACTTGCGATAAAAAAATGGTTCCGCTTTAGCATCGTTCTCCGTGTTGATTTTGCCTTCAAGAGAGTGTTTTCATTCTGCGAATGTAGCATGTCGGTGTTAATCGTTTTAAAGATAATTTATTTTAGAATATCAATGAAAACATTTTTCTATCTCGGAAAACACCCAAGTTAGTGCTAGTTTTAAATCGTAGAAATATCTTGGGGAAAACTGCATTAATAAGTTTTTGCTTTAATCAACAACAGTCAGGACTTCACGTAATATTTTCCGTTAAATCTAAGTCTCAATTTAACAGAATGATAGCCCAAAGTGTGCTCAGACTAACATTTTTGGCAGTCGCTATAGAATGCACGAGTTCAACCTCACACCTGGCTGTAATTAAGCTAATTAAAATGGTCAGCCTGGTAAAATATACAGGATTCGTCTCCTTCATACTTGTTGTGTCTGTATGCCACATTTCTTTAGCTGAAAATAGTGATGTAAGAACTCGGAAAAGCCACGGAATTGAAATAAAATGCGAAGAAGTCAAAATGAGAGTAACCGTGAAGAGAAGTTTCTTCGAGGAGAGACGCATTCCGTTCAAACCTGATCATCTTCGACTCGGAACAAACTCAGCGCAGCAGAGCTCCTGTAAACCAAAGGCACCCGTCTCTGAATCTGAAATGTTCATCTCTGCAGGTCTACAAGAATGTGGGACTGAGTCAAGTGTAAGAAAACAGTGGTTAGCAAGGAACAGTCAAATAATGGTTTAATACCCTGAAGCAGAATTTGGGCATAAAGATGCAAATAAGTAGGCACTTATCAGACACGTATGTCTAATGCATCTTGAAAAGAAGGCTAATAAAGCTCTACCCAGCATCCAGCTGGGTAGAGCTTTATTAGCTTTATTATTCCTATAATGACATATCTGAATGTTTGCGATGGAAAATGCCTATTGCTGGGCACACTCACCTTTACTGGAATTGTGCTTGAGCTCTCAAAACTTGTACCCATGTTCCACAGTTGCAGATCTTAATGTCTTTTGGTTAGCTAATTTGGGATTTTTGAAATCTTCTCTAATTTAATATAATGCACACTTGTTAGTGAGGTGAGTAGGAAAGTAATAGATTTCTGCACACTGCCAGCACCAAGTTTAGGTCCTGGACCATTCGGATAAGACTTCCATTACTTCCTTATTCAAATAAAACCAAAATACAATATGGATACATTGAGTATAAAGGAAGATGGTGTCTTCATCTATGGTTTCATCCCTTTCTTTATAATTGCTGCTATCCAGGTTCATGGTGAGTGGCTTGTGTATTCCAACCAGCTGCTGCTGTTTCCTGCTGTGGTTCCTACCTCTACAGGTAGTGTGATAGTTAGAGGGGCGGCTACTGTCATACCTGTTGAATGCCATTACAAGAGGTGAGGCCGCTTGTATGACTTGTGCTGCATAATATTTTATAGGAACGAAGAGTTGCTGTTAGTGTTCATCGACACTTTGTAAATGTATAACACGTGTTTACCTTTGTGTGAGCACAGAAAGCAGACAGTGAATGGAGAACCATTAACCCCAACCTGGCTTCCCATGACATCCACTCTCAGCGTGTTTGGCCTTCTGCACTTCTCCCTTCGTACCATGACAGGTGAAACCATTATCTCATTTAATCTAGATTGTATCTGTGAAGCATTTCTCTATCTACAGTGATATGGTGCCATATTTATTTCTATCTGGAAACCACATGAACCTGGGACAAAAAAATGTCTTTGTTGATATACAGGTGGCTGTACCGCTCCACGTAGTTCCTCAGTGTACCAGCAGGGGGAAGCAGTGTTTTTGGAGGCTAGTGTGCAGACCCTGCTACAGCCTCCTCTCACTGTATATGTTGACTACTGCATTGCTACGATGAAGTCTGACCCTCTCTCCTTGCCAGGCTACAGGTTTATCACTAAGCATGGGTCAGTCGGTATATAAAACACATCACAACAAAATAATGTTAGGTGCAGCCAAGTTTTTCATCAACATTTATCCGACTAGGTTGGAAGGAAAGCTAATCTGGGCACATCATGTCCAAATTGGATACAGTTCATGGAATTATTTCAACATGTGTTCCTCACAGATGTCTTATGGATAGTTTATTGCCATGGTCATCATCTAAATTCCTCCCGAGGGAGCAAGACAGTAGACTGTGCTTCAGTGTCCAAGCCTTCCACTTCAGCCAGGAACCTGGGGAACAGGTAACAACACCCAAATGGACAACAGATGGTTCATTACTTTCTGAATTATAATAGTCAATGAAGTCATCATTATTGCACAGAGGGTGCTAGTTTCTATGTATTTTTTTAAAACTTGTTTTTCTGTAAAACGTTATATACACACATTTTTAATTGCTCAAACCTAAAAGATGTACAGTATCACTGAATTAGGCTTTCTTCTTCTAGATGTTCATCAGCTGCCACCTTAGGGCTGCTCTGAAACAAAGCTCAAACAGCAACCTTAATAAAGCCTGCTTCTTCCATAGGCCCACATTCAGGTTAGGCTGCCAAACCTTTGGTGACCTTCAGTTGTAAATGAAAATGATATGTAAATGATTTGGTCTTGATTGTAGTTTCAGCTTCTAACATCCACTGATGGGAGCTGAGGTGTATTATCAGGATGTTTCTCTGTCCTCCAGCTGGCGTGCCACAGAGGGAGACAGTGCTTTCTGTGAATGCTGTGCCACTGATAACTGCTTTAGAGAGACTGGAGAGGAGAACAGTGGCCACACGGGATACACAACACAAGATGCAGGTTGCTCAGAGCTTTACAGACAAATAACATACAGCATTTTAGAGGTTATTTGTACCAGTTGTTCTGAATGCAAAGGATTACATGACCATTGTAACTCATATTTATACATGAATTGAAATCACATGTTCACTGAGCCACTTGTATACCTGTTTTTGACAGAAAAGAAACATGAGGCGGACTCGGCAGTTGGGCCACTTCACATTTTGCCACGCACCCATTGGACAGGCCATCTGTCAGTCAATCGCTGAAGAGACTTTTTCTAATTTTACAATGTGGTGGATACAAGGACTGTCAAGACCATAAAAAAAGGATTAATGATAAAGCATTCATCACTATTTTTTTCCTCATGACTCGTTATGAAAACTGAAATGTGCATTTGAATGCTTTGCAGAAAAGTGTATAGTTGGAAGCCATACCATTGACTCTACTGCTTTGTACTTGGAGACACCTACTGTACACAAAATGGTACCACACAAAACTGTCTGAACTGTGTCTGCATCATGTAAAACGCCTCCATGCAGTATGTCACTGCAGTGAGTCAGTTCTTACTTGTATAGCCCATTGTCACCCTCAAATGGCTTTACAGTCAGTACAGCATATGAAACCCTGAAATTAGATAAGGAACCCCTCACACTTGCATACACACACCTGATAAAATAAACCATATAATCAAATATAACTGACTACATTTCTGGATCCTACTACGCAACATACTATAATACAATGGTTTTTAACCTTTTTAGGCATGCAGCTCTCTTTTAGGATGAAATTATTTTGCAATCCCCACTAGGAAGAAAAAAAAAATCACAATATCACATTCAGCAGTTTAATGTGTCAGCCTCCAAGGCTACGAAAAACCCTCAGATTTGCATTACACAGTAAAAAGAAATTGCTGAGAAAATGCAAAATATCAAGGCAAAACAATGCAACAGATTTTCTCAACTTTTCACTTTCAGTATGTTTTACAAGTTTAGACAAGAGTTCTGCCAACTTGGATATTATTGTTCACCTAATTATATTCCTTTGAGGCCAACAATGAAATTCCTGTTTCAGTGCCAGGCGTTTCTACTTTAGGTGACTGTAGCTCAGGGGTAGAGCAGTTGTTTCTCAACCCAAAGGCTGGAGGTTTGATTCATGGTGCCTATAATCCACATGTCAAAGTGTCCTTGGGCAAGATACTGAACCCCAAGTTGTCCCCGATGGCCAGAGGAGTGACAATGCAGAGACAGCACTGCCAAAAGGTGTGTATGTGTGTGTGTGTGTGTGTGTGTGAGTTGGCGCCACAGATGGCTACCTTGGTTCTGTACTGGACACAAATTCTTTGTGTGTGTGTGTGTAACATACTTGGTCAAATAACAAACACAAATATTCTTGTTGAATAAACACAATTTCCTAAAGCAAAACTTTTATCTCACTGAAGCACGAATTGTGTGTTTATTCAACAAGAATATCTGTTTGTTGAAAGTAGGAATGCATGGCATTGAAACAATAACTTCACTGTTGGCCCGACAGGACTATAATTAGGTGCACAAGAAGATTTAAGTTGGCAGAACTCTTTTCTAAACTCATAAACCACAGTTAAATCAACACAAGTAGTCAGAAGTTGAGAAAACTCAAAAATCTATTGCAATGTGTTGCCTTGATATTTTGTGATTTCTCAGCAGTTTTTTACAGTGTAGACTCAACGATTAACTACATAAAATTTGCATATGTTTTCTTCTCATTCACAACAATTTACTACAGTTAGCATAAGGAGCACCATATGGGTTGAGTGGGTGAACAAGTGACTTAGTTCAGTGGTCCCCAACCCCCGGGCCGCGGACCGGTACCGGTCCGTGGATCAATTGGTACCGGGCCGCACAAGAAATCATTAATTATTTCCGTTTTATTTATTATCTGAGTCTGAACAATCTTTTATTTTGAAAAATGACTGTATTCTCTCGGTTACACCTCGGTCACTTGAGCGCCAAAACTGGCTTACTTGTGCGACATATTCAGCCTGCTCAATGAACTCAATCTGTCACTTCAGGGGAAAATGACAACTGTCTTCAAGTTGGCAGATAAAGTAGCTGCATTTAAAGCCAAACTGGATTTGTGGGGACGGCGCGTCAACAGAGGCATTTTGGACATGTTTCAAACATTAGTGGGGATTTTGGGTGAGACTGAGCCTGAGCCTTCATTCTCCCAGCTGGTGCACGATCACCTGTCTTTGCTTTTAAAAGAGTTCGAGCGCTACTTCCCAACCACAAAGGACCCACGAACTGCCAAGGAATGGATCTGCAACCCATTTGTCAACAAACCAGGTGAATCCAGCATGTCTGTGCAAGAAGAAGATCAACTGCTGGAGATCGCAAATGACGGCGGCCTTAAAAGTATGTTCGAGACAACAACTCTGTCGGTGTTCTGGATTAAAGTCATGACAGAATACCCTGAGATCACAGCACTGAAAACCCTGTTGCCATTTCCGACATCCTATCTGTGTGAAGCGGGTTTTTCTGCAGTGACAGCAACCAAAACAAAACAACGGAGTAGACTGAACATAAGCAACACACTTCGGGTGTCATTGTCTCCCATTACCCCCACATGGGACCGTCTCGTTTCAGAGAAACAAGTTCAGGGCTCCCATTGATTTAGCGTTATGGTGAGTTAAAAATTTCAACACAGTGGATTCACGTTTATTATTATATTAACAATATAAACAATCTACGTACCTACCTACTCCCCCCCCCGGGCCGCGGTAAGATTGTCAAGCGTTGACCGGTCCGCAATGATAAAAAGGTTGGGGACCACTGACTTAGTTGACCATGGGGAGAGTGACAGCATTTATAAATGGCAAAAATTAAGACTGATGTGTTCTGTTTAAATATTACCGTCAGCTATTGGGCAAGTCTCCCTCTCCTCATCCTTTGTACCAGTTATGAGGTTAGAATCTTCCTGTGTTGTTGTATCAGCTGTTCTGACTTGTGTTGCATTGGAATGTGTGATGCCAGTGAGTGTTGGTCTTGGCATGGCTGCACACAGTGTTTTTGTTTGTTTGTTGTTGCCTTCAGTTAGCTGGTGCTTCTGAAAGAAAGGGAAACAGTCCAATACTTAGGTTTTACTACATTATTGAGGCTCATTCTTTATTTGTTAGTCCTGGTGACTAAGACAAAGATATCTGAAGTTTTCTATTGCCAGTGGGATGCCACCCAAATTAAGTTTTTTTTAACCAATTAATGAGGCAGTATTGATCTGGTACATGGCAAAATGATGATGATGATGAATCAGTCTGCAAAAGACCAACAACGCATTTGTTTTCCCTGCAATATACTCAGGTGCAATCCAGTGTTTGCATGTAGAAATTAATGCATGATGGAACATTTATAATGGGTATGCTTATATGCTGACTGTATTTTGTCAAAGATCAGGTTCTTGGTAAAATATTGAAAGATAGGAGGCTTTAATATTTAACTAGAACCAGGGTTATTGCCTAACCTTAACCAAACTGCAATTCTAACACCAATCAGCACTCAGGATGTGAACCCCTGTCTCTGATGTTGAAGTCCTGATTTAGATGTCTACCATCCAACTTGAACCCGGTGACATTGGGTGCAGTGTACACAATGTACACACAGTGCAATGTACACACATAGGACCACCTCCTGTCAAACACACTGCAACTGAACATAGCTCCAGGAGATAGTTCTGATCTCTTTATGATGTGTTCATCAAAACAAATGGTAGTATAAATGCAATATCTAGGAGAAGGTGTTGGGAAAAACAATGCCTTTTCTCACACCTGATTCTGTCATTCAGATTGTGGTATATCTAGTGCCAAGTCTAAGGCAACTAGACTTTCGCCCCAAAAAAACCCCCCCCTCCCCCCTTTTTCATTGAAAAGGAGTTTTCAGGTCTAACAGACAAGTAGGTAAGAGTGATTGAGGTCATGTGTAGGTTGACAGTCCAACTAGCTATGCATTTTACGAGGCTGCCCTAATACTTCTTCCCAGACAATTTATGACCTATTCACACTTTGCCTCATGTGGCTCAAACAACTCACATTACAACATGCTGCATTGTTGGCACAGGGATCATTCAATTCTCAGGTGTTTGTGCCTGGCTCCACTAGACCATCTTGTTTCCAAAGCTGCCTACCGCATTCTTAAGCTGGGAAGACGTCCCAGCAGTTTTGGTGAGCAGTTGCTAAGTGTCTGACACCAGGTACCCAACACATTTCTGCAAAAAAAAGCAAGAATTCTAAACCATCAAATGACGGAGGAAATTGTCTAGCAGACTTGTACCAGGAAGTAACACAATTTAGTGTCGTAAGAAAAAAAAAAAAAAAAAAAAAAAAAAAAAAAAAAAAAAAAAAAAACAAGAATAAAGGAGGGTTTGATTTTTTTAAAAAAAAAGCAACTAACATTTTAGTTGGAAGCAGAACAAGACTAGCAGTGGGTTACACTGAAATACACAATACTGAGTTTTCCTTTGATGCAAATAGATCAAGGTAAATAAAAGCAAGGCATAAGGAAGATGCTGTAGGCAATAATGCTCTAGTGTTTTTCCCCACTTCCTATGGCTGTAAATTTCAAAAGCACAATTACACTCAACTAATGTGATTCTGACAACATTAGACAATTGTCCTATTGTCTACCAGGCTGTTTGTAATATTAATCTGTGAATGACCCAACCTGACAAACTAAGAGATAATCAAAATTAAAGGAGACACTCCTGTAATTTATAGCTGTGGAAGAAGTGCTCAGATTCTTTACTTAAGTAAAAGTTGCAATACCACTGTAAAAATACTATGTTACAAGCAAAGGTCCTGCATTCAAAATGTTACAGCAACAAAAGTATTAGCATCAAAACATACTTAAAGTAAAAGTACTCATTATGCAGAATGGCACATTTCACATCCCTGTATATCATATTATTATATTTTAATTGCTGATGCCATATTGCACACACTACATTTAATGTTGCAGCTGGTAAAGCTAGCTGGGGGAGCTAGTTTTAACTGGCTTATATGCATTTAATTGGAATAACTGCTGGGTAGCTTGTGAATTTTCAACCACAAATCAATGATGTTTTGTAATTATACTGCATTTTTTTGTATTAAACTGGTTATGAAAGGTAACTAATACTATAACATGTAATAGAGTAAAAAGTACAATGCTTGCCTCAAGACAAGACAAAGTTTAAGTAGCAAAACAAAATGCAAGTAAAGTACAGATACCTTAGTACACTACTTGAGTAAATGTACTTAGTTACTTTCCACCACTGGGAATTTATACCCACATATTACAGAATACAAATGGAGGTGAAAGGGCAAGTTGAAATGTAAAGCCTACAGTCTTATGTTGTACAGGGCCAGCAAGCTGGGGAAATAGCAGACAGGACAGCCACAGCAGTTAGAGTGTAACGTACAAATGACAAATGATGAAAGGCCCATTGGATAACACAGTTGTTCACAAACTGTGGGGCGAGCCCTCTAAGGGGGTGCCCAGAGTTAAGTCAAGGTGGGGCACGGCAATGTGTAAATTTAACTGACATGGGTGGGGGGGGGGTAAAAATATTTTTACCCTCAAAAGGGAGGGCCCAGGACAAAAAGTTTGGGAACCAGTGGGTTAACAGAAGCTGTGAGGATAGTAGCAGCTAGGCCAGGGAAAACACAAACACACATAAGGCAGCTTGG